AAAAAATCTATCTATCAATCAGTACTGCATATATCAGAACCATTTCCTGCTAACTAAAATGGTGTTTGACTTTCGGTTTTAGTATAAATGTTAGGGACCAGGTCTTTAATCAAATACATCTGAGAGATAGATTGGCCAAGGTCCCTGTCATGTGCCAGGGAGAGGGCTGAGCACCTTACCCATGTCGTCTCACTTGGTCCTGTAACCAGCAGTGGGTCAGCAGCACCCTGTTTTGTTGCTGGGGATGCTAAGGCACACAGAGGCCACGGCCGGCCCAGCTCTGTGTGCAGAGCCCTGTGATGCCCACTGTGGTAGATGGCCTTCCGGAGGCAGGCAGCACATCGAGAGCGCCACCCTTCCCCCGCAGACTCCATCAGCAGCTATGAAGCCCAGATCGCGTCCCTGAAGCAGGAGCGGCAGCAGCAGCAGCAGGACTCCGAGGAGAAGGAGCGAGAGCTGGGCCACCTGAAGCAGCTGCTGGCCCGGGCCCACCCCCTGGACTCCTTGGAGAAGCAGATGGAAAAGGTTGGGGTCGGGGTGGCCTGTGTCCCCCTGGGCCTCAGGAAGGTGTTGGGTGGGAATCGCTGAGGTGCCCGTCCACAGTCACTGGCACAGGACACGGAGCGACAACTCCGGGCGGAGCACAGAGCACCGCAGACTGCTGGCCCCTTGGCGCAGTCCTGGCCTGCCCCGTGCTGGTGGGGCGACCAACTTCATTACCTCCAAAGCCAGATCGGCCGTGAAAGGGGGAGGGCACTAACCCTTAAGGGAACCTCTCGTGCGCCAGGCGCTGGGTGCTTGGTGCTGGGCAGAGCTGGGGCCTCCGGTCTTCGCCCACGTGTGAGGCGGGAGCACCAGGTCCATTGAGCAGGTAAGGGGAGGCTCAGGGACTCCGTGATGCTCCAGCTTTTGCACATATAAAGAAGCGGAGTTGGCATCTACCAGTCCCAGCAGTGAGGTCCTGGAGTTTTTGTTCTTAACCTCTATGGTACAGAGCCTCCTTTATTATTGTTGTTGTTATCATTAAACAAAAATAGTGAGTCGGGTGTAGCTCCAGCCATTCAGGAGGCTGAGGCTGGAGGATGGCGTGAGCCTAGGAGTTTGAGGCCAGCCTGGAGAACCCTGTCTCTTAAAAACAAAAAACTGTATCTATCTGTATATATGTTTAATTTATATGTGTGTATGTTTGTACACACACACACACACACACACACACACACACACACACAGGGCTGGGGATGTAGGTCAGAGGTAGAGCACTTGCTTAGGATGTGCAAAGCCCAGGGTTCAATCTCCAGCACCACGTAAACACACACACACACACACTCACACACAACTAAAAACAACAATAGGAAGCTCCTATTTTCAAATGTTTCATCTTTTAAAGTGAATTTAAACCGCTGCCTCGTTCGATCCACACAGCAGCCCTGTGAGGTACTCACTTAATACCTCATTTCATGCTCGAGGAAGCTGAGGCTTGGGGAGATGGAGGGAACTGCCCAGTTAGAAAGACAAGGGTCAAAACAGGAGCCCAAGAAAGGAGAGCCTCCCTCCACTCCTCAGCTTCCGGCAGAGGCTGCTCCTTGCAGCCAGTGTTTCTCGGGGAACATTTGCAGAGTGGTAAGGAGGAGGACCTTGCTCGGTGACAGCCACCTGCTGTGGAGGAAGGCAGTCCAGTCTGCAGTCAGGCAGGGGCTAGTTTGGGCAACCCCTGCGTTCAGCCATCACTGTTGCTTAGGCATCTGCAGAGTATATTCGGGGGCCGCAGATGAGATCGGGGTGTTTGTTCTGACCACACAGGTTTATATTGCAGCTGTTCCTATAAGAGATTTGGAGGGTTAAATTGCATTCATGTGGAAAAGTGATTCAAGAGATAGATGGCATGGTAGTGCATACCTGTAACCCCTGAGACTTGGGAGGCTGAGGCAGAAGGATCGCAAATCTGAGGCTAGCCTCAGCAACTTAGCAAGATCCTGTCTCAAGATTAAAACAAAACCAAAAAACTCAAAAAGGCTGGGGATATAGCTTAATGATAGAGCCTGGCAGGCACAAGGCCCTGGGTCAATCTTCAGCACTGGAAAAAGAAAGAAAGAAAAGAAAAACTGGATGAATTGGAAGAGGGTGGTAACAGAAAGGATGACTGGCCAATTTCTGCCTTGAACACCTTGGTGGGTGACAGGGCCATTCTCAGTGACCTGGCACTTGTGGCGGGAGGAACTGCATGGGTGATGTGGCCCAGTTTTGGTTGGTTGGTTAGAGAAGCCAAGTGACACGTGCAGGGGCTCTTGCTCTGCAAGCTCAGCAGGAACAGAAGAGTATTAATCACCCGTGGGGTTGTGTGGGAGTGTGGGAGGGCATATCAGTTAGATTAGGATGAGGTTTGCCTGCATGCAATTGAAGATCCATTTAGCATTGGCTTAAATAGAAGTTTATTTTTCTTAAAGTCCAGACTGGTGTAGCAGCTCCGTAAGTCCTTAGGAAGCCAGGCTTCTCCTCCATGGCTGTTTTGCCATAGAGAGCAAATTGCCTCATGGCCCAAGATGACTCCTTGAGTGCCCGCCATCACATCCACATTTCA